CTAAGTTGCCAAGTAACAATACCAATTAGGGGTGAATAAAAGAAGATATTTCCCCCTGTTCTCAAGGTGCAGGCTAAGGCCTTTGAGAGGACATTGATAGTCGGGGGGCAGGGGAGAAAGGAAGGAGAGGGATTAAGGGAACCTCTGGCTCCCTGCTGGTGCTATTTAGAAAGCTAGCCAGCCAACCACCAGATCCATTCATCAAGTAATCTAAGAATCTATCCGAGATTTAGAAACTGTTGTTGTTCAGCCTTGTCCAGATTCTTCATGACCCCATTTGGGGTTTTCTTGACAAGGATTCTTAAGTAGTTTGCCATTTCCTTCTCCAGCTCATTTTACAGATGAGGAAACTGAGGCAAACAGGGTTAAGTGACTTGCCTAGGGTCACACAGCTAGTAAGTGTCTGAGGCCAAATTTGAACTCAGGAAGATGAGGCTTTCTGACTGCAGTTCTGGTACTCTAACCACTGTGACAAAAAGTTCCTCAATCTTTTTTTTTCCCCTGTGTCCTGAGACAGCTTCAAAGTAGGAGTCCTTTCTCTCAGCTCCCTAGCCCTCTTCTCTCTGTCTGACTTGTCCTCTTTACTGGTCCTTCCTTCTTCCAAGATAAATTCTCAGAAAACCTCCATGCTCCCACTCTAGGCCTTGAAGCAGACAAGATTGCACCCTTTATGTTGCACTGCTAGGTTTTGATGGTCAGTCCCTTTTCCTTGGAAAATCTGGCTCTAGGCCATAACACCACAGAAACTTTCCCCTGACCCACCTTTCACTTCCTGATATGTGGCTCTAGGGGTGTGGTTTGGGTACACAGAGTCAGGACAGGGGACTGGGAAACAGGGCTCCAGGGCTGGAGAAAGATAGTCGTGTGTGTGTGTGTGTGTGTGTGTGTGTGTGTGTGTGTGTGTTGACAGTGGGCCCAGATTTACTGAACTGCCTCCAATCTGTAGGAGCTGAATCAGCATTGGGGAATTAGCTTCAGAAGATGCCTGGTGACAGAAATAGAGCCTCAGAGGCAGCAGCACACTAAAGACCCTTCCAGGAAGGAGTCTGCCAGGAGGCCTAAGGGAAGGGGATCCAGTTGGTTTTAATCAGGCAGCAGGCCTCCAGAGGGTCTGCCAGGGATGTCCTGTGTTTGCCATGGAGAGGGGCACCTCTATAGTGTCCATGAAAGGGTCTGGGGCTGGAGCCAAGCCTGGGTCAAAGGAAATTTCATCATCTCCTACTTTTAGCCTTTGGAATAGGGGGGTTCCCCTCTAGGTATGTGTGGGTTAATTGAGAAAAAAATGTTCACAACATACTTTTAAGTTTAATCTGCAATATTAACATTTTCTCACTTTCCTAAATATAATGTAAACTATAATATATAGACATAGCATAAATATAATGTATAAAATATAAATATAAAATAATATATGACTGTAATATAAACAAAACAATTGTTTTGTTGCGGGTTTGCTGTGTGTTGTAAATGTTCACACTGAAAATTTAGCAATAGGCTTTCTGCAGCAGGTTTGAGCTGGCTCCATCATACCCCTGGCTCCCGCCCCTGTCCCCCCAATCAGATAGCCTCACTCAGACCTTGAGCACAAAGCAGCTGTTTTTCAGGGAGACTAGTATCTCTGGATTTGGAGGAAACCAAGTTTTCCACCTCTCTTCACTTGACAAAAGGGAGAATTTTCCTTCCTTGGGTCTCCTTACAGGGGCTCTCTCAGGCCTGAGAAGGGGGGGAATAGATTTGAGAGGAAGTCCAGTTTTACTTTCCCCCAGGGCCGAGAGAGAGACTTGAGTGTGATAATTGCTGGTCCCGTAATGTCTGTGGAAGCTCTAATGAGCACTGGCTGATCCTGAGTTTGATTATTTTTCTTTCCCTACAAGAGACATTGCCCTACCACCCTCTCACTTACAATATGCCACTGTCTGGTTCTCCCAGTGCCAAGAAAGGAAAAACACAGAGCAAATCCTGGCTGGTGGAAGAGCCTGGACATCCCTTTTCTTTCCTGCCCTGAAATCTGTGGGGAGATGGATGGGTCAATGGAGAGCAGAGTGCTAGGAGCCCACTATCCTCTTCTCAAGCAGAGAGAATGGAGTGGGACCTGCAACCTAGCTATGTTCCATGCTGCCCCTGCCAAGTGTTTGTCTTCTTCTATCATGAGATCCTTATAGATTCCATTCAACAAACGTTTATTACACACCTACAGTATACCAGCTGCTGTGCCAGGCATTGTTGATACAAGGAAAAAAATGAAATAGTCTTTACCCTCAAGAAACTTACTTTCTACTTTGTGTGTGTGTAAATGTAGCATACCAACAGTTTGATACAGCATAAGGACATTCATTCTGTTATTAAGAGAACTGTGATTCATATCCTGCCTTTGACACTTACTATATGCTTGACTTTGGGTAGGGCCCTTAAATCTCCTTGGGCCTCAGTTTCCCCATCTGTAAAATAAGGGGATGTTGGGCTAGGTTGTCCCTAAGTTCCTTCCAGGACTAGAGGTATGATCCTACATACAGATCAGGACCAATACACCTTACTTTGTGACCCTAGTGCTTGGCATAGTGCCTGGCACACAGTAAGTGCTTAATTAATGCTTATTGCTTGACTGACTGACTGATTCTCTGAGCTGGCTCACCTGAGTGGCCACAGATGGGTAACTGCTTTCAGGTGTTAGGCTTGCCTTGTACTTTATATCTGAAAGCTAAAACCTAAACCTCCTGACCAATGAACCTGGGTATTCCCTCCAGCACCCCAGCATCCTGGCATCTCAGTGGGGTTTCTGTTTGTGGAACACAATCCAGTTGCTCCTGGACCTATTGGGAGCCCTCTGAGCAACTGGAGAAGGGATGAGAAACCAGGAAGAGGCCAGAGAGTGACTCCGAGGCTACACTAGGGTCAGTGAAAGTTAGATTTCAATAATAATAATAATTAGTTTTTATATAGATCTTTAAGTTTTGTGAAGAATTTTACTTATATTATCTCATTTGATCCTCACAAAAATCCTATGAGGTAGTTGCTATTATTGTCCGCATATTATAGATGAAGAAACTGAGGCTAAGAGAGCTTAGGCGACTCACCTAGGGTCACATGGGCTAGTAAGTATCTGAGGCAGGATTTGAACTCAGGTTTTTCTGACTCAAAGTCCAGAGAGATAATAATGTTATGGAGGTTGAGAAATTCCCTCCTGGTCCTGTATATGGGACCCTCCAGGACAGAAAAAGCATCCTATATCCTCCTTTTTAGAGAACTCTCCTTTTGTCACTTCTATCCCTCAAAATGGGGACTTCTGTGTTGGAATACTCCCCAAGCCTTTCAGCTCAAACAGGGGTTAAGTTGAGCCTGGTAGGTAGTGACATGCCTCTGGGGATGGGGAAGAGGGAGGTAGGGGCTTTCTGGAACAAGCCCCAGTGTTATCTATGGGTGGTTTGCCTCAACCTGTCCCCAAAGCAAGCAGAGTTCGGTGATATGTTCAGCTGGCAGGTGGCAGGGACTCAGTCAGCCTCTTGTCAGCTTGGAGGCTGTTTTATATCACCTGGAATGTCAGCATCAGTGGGGGACTTTGGAAAGGTTGAAAGATTATGTTGATGATGCAGGCCTGGGAGCTTCTGGATGTCATTGTGCTCTCTGGCTGCTTTTGCTTTTTAAATTTTGAAAGTTGAAGGAAGAAAACAAGCAGGAGCAGAATTTTGGTCTGAGATATGGGAGATGTCAGTCTATTATAATAGTCTCTCTCTCTCCTTCCCTCCCCACATCTATCTATATATCACTTTTGCATAGAAGTTTGCATGTTATCTCATTTGAACATTAGGACAAGCCTGGGAGATAGGTACTATTTTTACCTCCATTTTCAGAGATGAAGAAATGGAAGCACAGAGTGTCTGTGACTTGTCCAAGGTCATGCAACTAGTAAGTATTGGAGGCCAGATTTGAACTCAGGTCTTCCTGACTTCAAATCCAGCACTATTCACTTTATCCACCTAGCTGCCTAAATCCTTAATTCAAACTCTCCTTGACTCTTCTCTGATCAGTAACCCTTACTCCATCATTCTTTGCATATATATATATATATATATATATATTTTACTACTTTGTATATATTTTAAAATACTTATATACATATGTGTCCTCTGACTAGTGTGATGCTGATGTACTAGTAGTAGGCTCTTAATAGATGCTTAGCGATTGATTCTGAAGTGGCACTTTCTCTTGGCCGTGTACAGCCTCAGGCTGGCCTGTTCCCTTTCCTCTTCCCTTCCCAACTCTCTCCTTTAGGATAAAATTGCCCTTCTGTCTTGCCCTCTACCAGGACAAATCCAGCAATTGTTGGTTTTTTTAGACTTGTCTCCCCAAGGGCCGGAAGAACGAAAGGAGACGGAACAGGAACTCGGGTCAAACAAAGAGGAGGACAAGCATTGGTGCTGCTAGACCCAGAATCCCAAACGGTGCCAAGGGATTGAAGCTCCTAGGGTGGAGTGGGCACCAGAGAGAAACTCTGTACACAGTGAGCAGCTTGTACACAACAGATCCTAAGCGTCTTACTATGGGCAAAGCCATCCAGAAGCTGGGGGAGTGGCAGAGTGTTCTCCTGTTATTTTTTTTTTTTCCTTTTGGACTGTAATCCAAGTGTCAAAACCATGCCCTCCAGCAAAACATCATTAATTATGAATCATCTCTTTTGTTAAATTAAAAAAACACATACCCACAGAACACACACACACACACACACACACACACACACACACACACAACAACAACAACTCAACTCCGCAGGGCTCCTTGAGGTATATGGGCAGCCGTGTGTGTGCCCGTGTGTGGAATGATAAATGAGCTGGCTTCTTTTTGGGGGGAGGAGAATCTGGGTGGCGAGGGCTGGGGGGCGAGGTCACTCAGCACCCAAAGGAATCGGTATAAAAATAGCTCCAGCTTAGGGGTAAGAGAGACTTCTTCCTGATTCTCCTTGAAGCTCTATAACTCCTTCTGTTGAGGCCGTGGGTACTGAAGCCATGAGCACCACCTTCCTTCAGAGCTCTTCTACCTATGGGGGTGGCTTTGGTGGGGGCTCCACTCGGGGAACCTCTCTCCTGGCTGGTGGTACATATGGAGGGGGAAGTCTTCTTGGGAGTGTTGGTCAGATTTCTGCCTCCTCAGATAGGTTCTGGGTCTGTAGGGGGCTACGGTGGTAGAATGAGCTATGGCTTTGGTGAAGGGACTGGTGGTGGTGTCGGTGGAGGGGTTTATGGAGGTTATAGAGGAGGCTTGGGCAGTGGCTTTGACTTGGGTGGTGGAGATGGTGGCTTCTTGACTGGCAATGAGAAAACCACCATGCAAAACCTCAATGACCGCCTGGCATCCTACCTGGACAAAGTGCGGGCTCTGGAGGAGGCCAATACTGATCTTGAGGTTAAGATCTGAGACTGGCGTCTGAAGCAAAGTCCCACTAACCTTGAACAGGATTACAGTCCCTATTTCAACACCATCAATGAGCTCCATGATGAGGTAGGACTGTGAGCTGGAAAGAGATGACATTCAACCAGGGGACTAGTTGAGCCATACATATTTCTGTTTTCAGAGTTACTGATGATACAAAGCAATTATTTCTGGTCTAGACAATGATTGCATTGTACATGAAGTGTCTGGAGACATGGGAGCTGCTCGTCAGCTGGCAGAAGCTAGGGATAATTGCTCTGATTGGCAGCATGGGAACATAATTGTGAGTGGCCACATAACTGGAGCTAACAGGAAATGAAGGAGTGCAATGATCCCCTGTGGCAACTGCTCACAGAAAGAGGGATCTGGGTTCCAGTCAGTCAGTAAGTCAGTCAATAAACATTGATTGAGTACCTACTGTATGTTAGGCATCGGCTAAGTGCTGGTGATACAATAAATGCAAAGGACCATCCTAGCTCTAGTGCCACTGAGCAGGGCTCCCTTCTTAAGAGCACTTTCCGCAGGCAAGCTCTATGAGTATGGTAGTATAAATAACAGCTCCATTCTACAGATGGAGAAAATCAGGGCTCTGACAGTCATTTGTCTACCCTCATACACTTAGTAGATTTCTAAATCGTATTTGAACCCAGATCTCCTGACTCTAAGCCTACTACACCATGCTACATTTCAGATGAGGAAGCTAAACTCGATCAGAGGTTTCTTAACCTGGGTCTGTGGAAAGATTTTGGGGGGTACCTGAACTTGGATAGGAAAAAATTACATCTTAGTTCAATCTAATCGTTTTCCTTTGCAACCATATGTATTTTATTTTATGACTTTAAAAACTTTCTTCTTTTTTTTGGCTAGGCAACGGAGTTAAGTCCAAGGTCACACAGTTAGTAAGTGTTATGTGTCTGAGGTCAGATCTGAACTCAGGTCCTCCTGAATCTAGGGCTGGTGCTCTATCCACTGTACCACCTAGCTGCCCCCTAAAAACTTTATTCTGAGAAGTGGTTCATAGGCTCCACCAGGCTGCCCAAGGGGTGTGGTCCATGATGCCCCAAAGGTTAAAAATTTCTACCCTAGATGGTTTTTCAGGGCCTCTCCACCTTGGACATTCTTTCACCTCTGGCATTCCATAGACAGTGCAGGCTGAGGAAGTAAAATGGAGAGATTAAAATTAGGAGCTCTGTTTATTGTTAAGGGCTTCTCTTCCCCCCTACCACCAAACAGGCTTAAACTTCTTATTCTCTAGCCTATTAGCTAGATACCTTTACTGGCTCAGCCAAGGATTCCAGAGGGCAGCTTTATCTCTCTCAAATTCCTTTGTGCATAGTTGCGGGGAGGTGCCTGGTTCTGGCCCTAATCGGGGAGGAAGGGGAGAAGGGTCTGTGTAGGGCTGCTATGCCATGAGACCCGAGGGGCTGAAGTTAGATTCTGAAGGCTCTTCTGGGCAGACTCAGCCAGCAGGACTAATACCTGATAAGGGAAATGCCTGGGGGAGAGGGGTGGGAAAGCCCCTTGGGAGACAACAGGGAGGAGATCTCCGGGAGGTTCTGGTCTCTCCTTTTTACAGATCCAGGAAACCACCATTGACAACCATTGGATTGTTTTGGGGCTTGACAATTCTCGGCTGGCTGCTAATGACTTCAGACTCAAGTCAGTTCATGCCCCCTCCCCCCTTTTTTTGTTCTCCTTCCCTCCATTCCTCCCTCTTTCCCTCCTGTTTTCCCTCCCTCCCTCCTTCCCTTTCTCCCTTGTTCCTTACTTCCCTCTTTCCCTTTCTCTCACCCTCATTCCCTCTCTGTCTCTCCTTCCTCTTCCCTTCTCTGGCCAAAACTCTCATGCAAAGAAATGCAACTGCTCCACTATTTCTGGTTCTGAACTTTTTCTTAATCTCCCAGGTATGAGAATGAGCTGAGCCGATGTCAGAGTGTGGAGGCTGACATCAATGGCCTGCACAGGTTAATGGATGAGCTGACCCTGGCCAAGACTGATCTGGAAACACAGGTTGAGAACCTGAATGAGGAGCTGGACTACCTCAAGAGGAACCTTAAGGAGGTGAGAGGAAAGCAGGAGGCAGGCAGAAGAATGGACTGAGGCCCATTAAGCCTCCATCTTGTGGGAGCATAGGTTTAGATTTAGTTAGAACTTAGAAGACCCCCCAGGCCAACTTGCCCAAAGTCATGTGGGTAGTAATTGGCTGAATTCGAATGTGAACATTGGACCTTTAATCCAGTTTTTCCTCCCTGTCCAGGACTGCATATGAGAGACCCAGGGAATGATCTGGGGGATGACAGGGCGGTTTCTGGATGGTCTCATTTCACATAGTTTCCTGGCAGCAGCTACAGCCTGGAGGAAGAGCTCAGCTCTTCAGGGATGTAACCACAGTGTGTGTCCTAACAGAGATTTGGGGGACCAGGGGAGAGTCATAATTTAAGGCTTGTCTCAGGTCCCAGCAGAGCATTTATACTTAGACTTGCTCAGTTCTCCTCCCTAAGCCAACAACAATGGAATGAGGGTGACCAGTACTGCTCAGTCACTGAAATAGGAAATAACCTTGGGTAAACCACCCTGCCTCAGTTTCTCCCTTGACAAACTTGGATGATTAGTCCCCTCCCCTGTTCCTGAAAGAAGAATCACATTCTCCACCAGTTCATGAATGATGTGGCAAGATGCCCATAGAATTCATTCTTCCTTTCCCTGTTTCTAAACCTCAGAGCTAGAAGTATGATGCCCTATCTGAGTTCTTCTTTCCATCCCTTCAGGAAAGGAAAGAGTATAATAACCAGCCAATGGGCCAGGTCAATGTGGAGATGGATGCAGCCCCAGGGGTGGACCTGACCCATGTGCTTTCTGAGATGCGAGAGCAGTATGAAGCCATTGCCGAGAAGAATCGTCGAGATGCTGAGGCCTGGTTCTTTAGCAAGGTGAATCCATGTGCAAGATCCCCTCCTTGAGACCCTCAGTGCTTCATTGGTGGTCTTTTGGGATCATATTGTTTCAGGGAGCTGCCATTGGGATGGGACTCATCCATCTTTGTGGGACCCTTGCAGACGGAAGAACTGAACAAAGAGGTAGCTTCCAGCGCTGAGATGATCCAGACCAGCAAGACCGAGGTCACTGACCTGAGATGCACGCTCCAGGGCCTGGAGATTGAGCTTCAGTCCCAGCTCAGCATGGTAGGCACTCCCTTCCTCCCCCAGACTCCTTGCTCCTGCATCCCTGCTGGGTCAGACGCTTTCATGCTTTACAAACCTCCATCGCTTCATCCGCTATGCTACCCAACTGCAGCAGATGCAGGGGCTGATTAGCAACACTGAGTTCCAGCTGGGTGAGCTCCGCAATGAGATGGAAAGTCAGAACCAGCAGTACGAGACTCTCCTGAACATCAATACCCGGCTGCAGCAGGAGATCGCCACATACCACAATCTGCTGGAGGGCCAGGACTCCAAGTAGGCAAAAGGCCTGGGGGCTACCCTGTGGAATGGGGACTACGCTCTTGGTGGAACCATCACTGGGGTTGTGATTCCTTAAAGGCAAGAGGGTTGACGGGTTTGAGGGGTTTGAGGGGTTTGAGAATCCAGTCTAGACAGTGCCTCAGAGAGAAGACTTTTAGGACCTTAATGCCCTGGAACTTGAAGTTGGCCCAGTCCTCTCAAATTACAGATGAGGAAACTGACGCCCAAAGAGGTAAGTGACTTGCTCAGAGCCATGAAGCTGGTAAATGTCTGAGGCAGGATCTGAGGTCAGATTTGCCTGACTCCAAGCCCAGCACTCTGTCCACTGGGCTGCCCAGCTTCCTCAAGGTTTTAAATGGCTGCTCCTCTGCCCTAGCCCATGTGGACCCCAGTAAAGAGGACGTAACCACTTGTCCTCATCACTGATTGGTAGGTTTGAATCTTAGCTTCAACATGTACTGGCTTTATGACTATGTGCAAATTACTTAGTCTCTCTGTGCCTCAGTTTTCTCAGCTTTGAAATTAGAAAATTGGATTAAATGATCTCCACCAGCTCCAAATCCTACGAATTGACAAGTCATTTAACACATCTGAACCTCGGTTTCCTTATCTGTAAAATGAGATCAATGATATTTTCATCATGTACGTCAAGAGGGGAGAATGTCGTAGGTCAACCTCAAAGAAAGTGGTTATACTGAACTTTATCCCAGGGAGACCTCACACAGGGCTTTGCCCATAGTGGGCAGTTAATAACATTTGTTATATTGAATGCAATCTTCCTCTTTCTTCTTTTCTAGGATGGTTGGCTTCAGTACCAGAGCAGGTAAGAGAATTTGACCTGCCTGGCTTGGGCAAGAGCTGGCTGAGGTTTGGGAAATATGGAGATGGCTATGGATTCTTTCCCAGGAGCCTGAGGGGCAGAGCATTGGAGACATCTTCATACCTATTCATGACAAAGTGGCTGCTCCAATTCTAATCTATATTTTCTTCCCCAATAAGCTCTTATTTTTCCTTTTGTTCCCCCCTCTTCAAAGTGAGAGATGTTCTTCCTTCCTTCCTTCCTTCATTCCTTCGTTCGTTCCTTCCTTCCTCCTTCCTTCCTTCCTTCCTTCCTTCCTTCATTACCTCCTTCCTTCCTTCCTTCTATCCACATTTATTAAGACAATATCATACACAGGGAAAGGTGCTGGGCTGAACTGAGGGGAACAGGACCAGATGATTATTACTGAGAAGGGCAGACCTTCTAGTTCTAAGGAGGTGACAGTTCCACTGTACTTTTTTCCTGGTCAGACATCAAGATCAGGGATTCTTAATTTGAGTTCCTTAACTTTGTTTTTTGAATAATTTGATAACTATATTCCAATATGATGGATTTCCTTTAGAATCCTATATATTTTATCTTATGAATTTAAGAATATTATTTCGAGAAGGACTTCCTAGACTTCACCAGAGTGCCAAAGGGGTTTATGATACAAAAAGGTTAAGAACCCATTCCAATAGTGCGCTGGTAAATGTCTAACAACTGAGCTCCCTCCACTAAATATATGTAGAAGACACGCTTTTAAGCATAGTCTGCATCATTGCATTTTCTGCATCACTTTCTTAAGTTTAGACAATTAACAAAACAATAAATCGGGCCTTGATTTGTAGTTTGCTGATTCCGGAGGAATATGAGTACTCACACAGAAAGTTTAACAATCATCTCTCTGTTTGTGGATTTTTTTTTTTTTTTGGCTAGGCAATAGGTTTAAGTGACTTGCCCAGGGTCACACAGCTAGTAAGTGTCAAGTGTCTGAGGCCAGATTTGAACTCGGGTCCTCCTGACTCCAGGTCTGGTGCTTTATCTACTGTGCCACCTAACTGCCCCAACAGTCATCTCTCTGGAGGGGGTTCCAGCTGGCTCCAGCACAACCCTGTGTTGATCTAGCCTATTGTGTTCCGTTCTGGGCATCACATTTGAGGAGAGATATTGATATTCTGGAAGGTGTTCAGTGCAGATCAACCACTTTTGGGGTATATTGTAGAGGGGATTTAGGTTGGACTGGATGGCTTCCAAGTTCCCTTCCAACTCTTAGATTCTGTGATCCATAAAGTTCCTTCCAACTCTAAAGTCTATCATTGGATGTATTGAACACCAGCCATGAGCAAAAGACCGTCCAGTTCTTGTACCTTTCCATATTCTCTATCCTCCAAGGTACTTATCAAGTTGTGCCCCTAGAATCTAACACAGAACCTGACAAATGGCTGATGTTTAATAAATGCTTGTTGATAGGTTGCTGACAGTGGCTCAGCGATCCTATTTGCCATTTTTTTAAATAGCCTTCCAATAGTACAGTGGAAAGAGCCTGGGCCTTGGAGTCAGAGAATTGGGTTCAAATCCTGCCTATGATGGTTACTTCTTGTTTGACCTTGGACAAATTGCTTAAATTCTCTTTGCCTCGTTTTTCCTGCCTATAAAATGAGAGTCCTGGATTACAGAGCATCCGAAGTCCCTTCTAGCTTAAAATGTATGATGATCTTATGAGTAAGATCAAGGCAGGCCAGAATACCCCAGTTTTATTGTCCAGCTCCCAAGACATGTTTATCCCATCCCTTTTCTTTTCTTTTTTAAAAAATTAACTAATTAATTAATTTTTAGTTTTCAACATTCACTTCCGTAAAACTTTGAGTTTTAAATTTTCTCCCTTCCCTCCCCTTCCCAAGACTGCATGCAATCTGATATAGGCTCTACATATATATTCATATTAAATGTATTTTCACATTAGTCATGTTGTAAAGAAGAATAAGAACCAATGGGAGGAACCACGAGAAAGAAGAATAAAAAAAAAGAGAGCAAATAGTATGCTTCCATCTGCATTCAGACTCCATAGTTCCTTCTCTGGATGTGGATAGGATTTTCCATCATGGGTCTTGTTTTCTTAGATCCTTGCATTGCTAAGAAGAAGTAAGTTTATCAAAGTTGGTCATCGCACAATGTTGCTGTTACTGTGTACAATATTCTCCTGGTTCTGCTCACTTCACTCAGCTTCAGTCCATACAAGTCTTTCCAGGTTTTTCTGAAGTCTGTCTGCTCATCATTTCTTATGGAACAATAGTATTTCATTATATTCATATACCACGACTTGTTCAGCCTTCCCCAACTGATGAGCATCCCCTCAATTTCCAGTTCTTTGCCACTGCAAAAAGAGCTGCTATAAATATTTTTGTACATGTAGGTCCTTTTCCCATTTTTATGATCTCTTTGGGATATAGACCTAGAAGTGGTATTGTTGGGTCAAAGGGTACACAGAGTTTTACAGACCTTTGGGCATAGTTTCAAATTGCTCTCCAAAATGGTTGGATCAATTCACATCAGTTCACAACTCCACCAACAATGCATTAGTGTTCCAATTTTCCCACATCTTCTCCAACATTTATTATTTTCCTGTTTTGTCATGTTAGCCAGTCTGATAGGTGTGATATGATACCTCGAAGTTGTTTTGATTTGCATTTCTCTAATCAATAGTGATTTAAAGCATTTTTCATGACTATAGATAGCTTTAATTTCTTCATCTGAAAACTGCCTGTTCATATTCTTTGACCCTTTATCAATTGGGGAATGACTTGTATTCTTATAGATTTGACTCAGTTCTCTAAATATTTTAGAAATGAGGCCTTTATCAGAGATACTGGTTGTAAAAATTGTTTCCTAGTTTCCTGCTTCCCTTCTAATCTTGGTTACACTGGCTTTGTTTGTGCAAAAACTTTTCAATTTAATGTAATCAAAATTATCCATTTGGCATTTCATAATGTTTTCTATCTCTTGTTTGGCCATAAATTCTTCTGTTTTCCATAAATCTGATAGGTTAACCATTCCTTGCTCTCCTAGTTTGCTTACGGTATCAGCCTTTATATCTAAATTGTGTACCCATTTTGACTTTATCTTGGTATATGGTATAAGATGTTGGTCTACGCCTAGTTTCTGCCATACTGTTTTCCAGTTTTCCCAGCAGTTTTTGTTAAATAGTGAGTTCTTATCCTAGAGGCTGAAGTCTTTGTATCCCATCCCTTTTCAAATTGCATTTTACTAGGGGCCATCTCTAGTTGTCCTGATCTATATCTGGCCACTAAACCCAGATGGCTCTGGAGGAGAAAGTGAGGTTGGTGACTTTGCACAGCACTCCCTCACTCAAATCCAATTCACTTGCAAATCATACTGTCAGCTTCCTGAGGTCATGGTCCTCTTTGAGAACAAAGCACAAACCACAACCACAACCACAAGTGTTGTGCCAAGACCTCTGTATAGACTTAGAGATGGCTACAGGCAGGGACTCAGTCTTATACATCTGTATCTCCCTCAGCACCTTGCAGAGTATCATGTAAAGTAGGTGTTAAGTAAATGTTTAGCGAACAAATGAATGGTTTCCTATCAGAGATGCTCTCATAGTCTCCTGGCTCTCTCAGATCTGACCAAAGGCCTTGCCTGAATCTGGAGAAATATGAGTTTTCCTGCCTCTGGTAGTTTCCACTTTCTACATTTTTCCCCCCCATAGATTCCCTTAGTGGAGGAGGTGGTAATGGTAGCAGCAGCAGCAGGGTCCACATCACCATGGAGGAATCAGTGGATGGAAAGGTGGTTTCTTCCCAAAAAAGGGAAGTTTAAATCTTCAAAATGTTCACCATAGGCAAAAGAGAAAATCCATCACCTGCCTGGCTGAGAGCATGAATAGTCACAGTGTGGAGGAGGATGGAAACTCCAGTGTTTGCCCTGGGAACGGGATGGCAAATGTAGGCCCTACCATGCCCTGTTCAATGCTCCTTAGTGTTTCTCTCCTCTCCTTTCTTCCCAACCCACTGTAATCTGCTTTGCAGCAGTACTTTCCTAGGTGGAAGCTAGGGGAAGCAATTGTATTGTGTAACCCGTCCTCAACTGTACTGTTTCTTTCTGTGAAATAAAGTTTTTCCTTCTGTTTGCAAATCCTCTGTTGCTGTGGGTCCAGTTTTTCTTGAATTGATATTCATGGGGGTTATGGAATTACTGAGCTAGCTAGCATGGGGCTCACATCCAGTCTTCTCTCCCTTCCCCTTTTCCCAACCTTTACTACCTTTTCATTCTCCAGGATTTCTGGGGTCTTGTCTGTATATTGCTGTCCAATGAAATGGTGTCTCCTCATGTATTACATGTAAGAGAGAGACATCTGGTGTAGAGCATAGAATGCTAGACTGAAAGGCAGGAAGACTTGGGCTCAAAGCCTACCCCAGAGACTTATGAGCTATATGATCTTGTATAAGTCATTAGGCTCCTGTAAAATTTGTAAAATGAGGGAATTGGACTCAATGGTCTCTAAGATCTAAGATCCTTTCCAGCTCTCAGTCTCATGGTCTATTGCATGTAACAGGGGCAGTGTGGCTTAGCAGATAGAATTCTGGACTTGGAGTCAGGAAGATCTGAGTTCAAATTCCACCTCTGAGATTTACATGCTGTGAGACCTTGGACAAGTCACTTAACTTTTCTCAGCCTCAGTTTCCTTATCTGTAAGATGGCCTCTAGTGTTGCTTCCAGCTCTAAATCTACAATTCTGTGATCTGTTGCATGTAAAAAGAGAGGTAGTGTGACATATCAGATAGAGTGGTAAATTTGGTGAAATTCCATTTCTGAGACTTGGTCATGCATGATCATGGATTTACCTTCTCTGAGCCCTAGATAACTCTGTGCTGGTGGCCACAGGTCCTTGATGTATTGAGAATACACCCCCCCACACACATACACACACACACACATACACACACATACACACATAAATACACACATATACACATACCATACATACATACATATGTGTATATATATATATATATGTATACATATATCAGCAGCAGGGGAATGAGGGGGGGCCGGGGTTTCTCAGTGCCTCCCCTCCTTTCGCTCCACCAGTCTGTACTGCCTCCTCTTCTCCATGCCTCTGCTATTCATTTTAGCCAGGAAAACCATCTCCCCAGCCCTGCCTTTGCTCAACCTGATTCTCCGTATGACTGTTTGCACAATCCTTACCACACACCCATTATCACTTATACTCCCTCCCACTGGCCAAACCTCTTCCTTCTGCCCTTCAAAGTACTAGTGAAAAGGCATCTTCTAGGAAGATCTCTCTGATTGAGCAATGTGAAATTCCAATGTGTTACTGATTCTCTCTAATGGTCGTAAAAGCTCCTCCAGATACCTTCATTGCCCAAACCCCAGGTTGTTGGAGCTGTGTATGTGCATGTGCACCTATATTTATGGTTTTAGGGTTCTCCTTCTGAGATGGGTTTCTTTTCTTTCTCTTCTCTTCTCCTCCCTTCCCTGCTTTTTTCCTCTCCTCTCCTTATATCAAACAAAAATGTGACATTACATGAAGTGTTCCATAACTGTGGCCTTCTGACCTCTGCAAAGGAGTGGAGGTGGTTATATCTTCTCATTTTTCTCATTTTGGACCAAGCTCCAATGAAGGCAGGGCTGTGAAACTTTGGGAGAACAGAGGACACTTCCCACCCCCTTTCTCCCTAGAGAGTTACCTCAGGATGTCTAAAATGCTCAGTCCCTGGGCAAAGAATGAGAATTAAAAAGGAATTCACCGAATTTTGTAAGGCAGTGCCTATCAGTGCTCTGGTTTCAGGCTCGTCTGACAACAAGAGAGTTTGGAGCAGAAGTCAAATTCTCCACATGTTCCCCTTCTGCTCTGGCAGGGCTGAGCACCTACCTGCATTCCTCTGGGTTGGGGTAAAGCAAATACAATTTATGGCAGATGGTATTTAGCTCAGAATCTTAGGGCGGGAAGAGTCTCACTGAGGAAGCTCTCCTAGAACAGAGACTCCTAGGACAAGAGGGGAAGGTGGTAGAGGGAGGGAGCTATCTCATAGTATGATCATATCGGTAAGTGACTTGCCTGAGGTTATACACGTAGTAAAAGTCAGAGGCAGATTTGATCTCGGATACCTTTCTAGTGAACCAGCTCTCATCTGGCCTCCTCCCCTGCCTCCCTTCAGTCCCCAATACTAAGGTCTATTGATCCAATCCATCCTGGAAAAAAATCCTCTAACTTCTTCCAAATAGTCTCTTTTTTCTTCTTGTTGTTCAGTAGTGTCCAACTCTTCATGACCCCATTTGGAGTTTTCTTGGCAAACATACTAGAGTGATTTGCCATTTCCTTTTCCAGCTCATTTTACATATGAGGAAACTGAGGCAAACAGGATCATACAGCTAGGTAGTGTCTGAGGTCAGATTTGAACTCATGAAGATGAGTCTTCCTGACTCCAGGCTCATCATTCTATCCATCTTGCCACCTAGCTGCCTTAAGTCTTTTCTAGTCTATGACTATCAGAAACCTCTTTTTCATATCTAGCTCAAAGATCTCTTGAGATACAAGCAGCTAGCTGTTATAGCCAGCCAGGTTTCTGTTGTTCTCAAAAACAAAGTCTTTTTTACCTGCCCATTCTGGCTCTGGGCTGGTCCAGCCTGGCTGCTGAAGTTTCAGTTTCTTCATCTGTGAAATAAAGTGTTGAATGAGATGCTGTATAAGATCTCTTCCAGTCCTAACATTCTATGTTTCTATTTCCTAAAGTCCTTTCCAATCTGTCATTCTATGAGTCTATGACTCAGAAGGTTTATAGGTTTCTGCCTTTTAGCTCTCTGAAGCTCTGAGCTATTTAAATAAACAGCGGTTTTAATTTGCAGAAGCAAGTTGTTGGAAAGGTGATTGGAACGGAGGCAGGGACTCAGTCTTGGGAAAGCAGGCAACTGTTCCTGTCTTCCTAGAAGGTGTAGCTTGCAGGGCACTGGAGAGGGGTGAGGAGTTTCTCTTTCTCCTCTGTCTTAGCCAGGGAGTCAGTGGGTTGCCTTTTCTGGAGACTGTGCAGAGAAGCAGAGAAAGCCTTGGAACCTGGGGAGTCCTACTTTCTTTCCTGGTTCTGGAGAGATAGATATTCCACCCAGAGGCCTGTGGTTGGTGAACCACAGGAGCTCTGAATGAACTTACCGTAAGAGTACCCAAGGTTGACTTATACCTAGGATATGCTCTTAAATAGACTCTGGACACACCCCCTACCTGCCTCCTGTGATGAGGTCAGGTCTTTACTACTAATTAGGTATCTGGAAAGGGCTGACTGCCCATTACCCTCCCTCAGCAGGAAATAGGATTTGTATTTGGAGAATGGAGAACTGAGACTATGGTGTTGGATGCATGAGAAGTCATGGAAAATGGAGAATAAGGTCTTTGAGCCAGGATACGAATAGGGTCCAAGGCTGGGCTTCCCAAAGGGGCAATGGAGGTATATGTTCACTACTATGCTGTAATCCAGTGATACTTGGTCCTTCAGACTCTATCTTCACTGCCTAGAGTTCCCTATGTTTAGAATTCACTTCTTCATCCTACCTTTCAGTTTTTCAGTTGTTTTTGTTTTGTTGTTTCAGTCATGCCTGCTCTTCATGACCCCATCTGAGGTTTTCTTGGCAGAGATACTGGAATTGGTTTGCCATTTTCTTCTCCAACTCATTGGACAGATGAGGAAACTAAGGCTGACAGGGTTAAGTGACTTGTCCAGGTTCACACAGCTAGTAAGTGTCTGAGGCTAGATTCGAACTCAGGAAGATGAGTCTTCCTGACTCCAGGCTCAGCACTCTATCCAGTGTACTACCTAGCTTCCCTCTCAGTTTCCTTGTTTTCCTTCCAGTCTCTGCTGAAATCTCAACTTCTGAGAAACCTTTTCTGATGCCATCTTAATCCTAGACTCTGATATCCTGTATATATCTTGTTTGTATATAATTATTTGCATGTCTCCCCCATTAGACTGTGAGCTTTTTGAGAACAAGGATGTGTTTTCATAGCACTTTCACTTAAGTATCATATCTTTATATAACCACATATAAAATATGAGTATATGTTATATATGTGCTTTATATGCTATATGTTATGATACATGTGTACAAAAATGATACGACTTATAATGTGCTTAGCACAGTGCCTCACACATAGTAGGTGCTTAATATATGCTTGGTAGCTATGTGGCATAGTGGATAGAGTGCCAGACCTGGATTCAGGAAGACTCATCTTCATGAGTTCAAATCTGGCCTCAGACACTTACTAGCTGTGTGACCCTGGACAAGTCACTTAACTCTGTTTGCCTCAGTTTCCTCATCTGTCAAATGAGCTAGAGAAGGAAATGGCAAACCACTCTAGTTTCTCTGCCAAGAAAACTCCAAATGGGGTCATGGAGAGTTTGGACCTGACTGAATAACAACAACAAATGTTTATTCCCTTCCTCCTGCCCTTTGCAAACCTTGAAACCCTACATAAATGTTGGCAATGATTATTATTATGAAACAGCCTTCCAAGGGAAGGGGAGATGTGACTGCCCCAATCATATCTGTGCTGTTCCAAGTACTTTAGGAGACTGGATGGGAGGGAAGGTGAGGTGTTAAATTAGATCTCATGCCACTGGCATGATTGAGTCCCTAGCCTACTTTCTAACTTTGCCCCCCTGAAAATCCAAGATGGCTGAGGAGACTGGGCTCCTTGAGAATCCTATGGTCTTCTCCATGGGTTGGAATAAAAGCTGTCTTATACTCAGTGACCATATTGTACAACGAGTGCCTGTACGGGATTTGGGAACCCTGCTACCCACTTT